TGTGTCGTTGCTGGTGTATTTGCAAGACTAGCTTAGATATTCAGAAAATAATTTAGAGCAATAATAATCATTAAGTCTGAAAACCACAATAAACACCAGCCTTTTTCCTGTTTACTCGCATACTAAAAAATGTTGAGAAAGAAAGCAAGTTACATTTTAGGAGAGAGGTCATTTGCAATGCAGTAGGTGCCATCAACCATGAAGGGAGGCCTGGAGTAGAAAAAAAAGGTAGCCTGTTAAGTCCTCTTTGTTGTGTAAAGTATTCCAACAAAATGTAGCCCAGTGGGAGGTAAGGGATTGTTATGCCAGAAGCTGGACCAAGGTGATTTTTTTTCCTTTCATTTACCTATTTTTTTCTAGTGATAGGCCCCAGATCTGTCCATGAGGAGCCTTTATACTGTTTGGGTATGAAATTATATGGAAAGTTGAATGGGGCAAACAACCTCAACCAGTACAAATTGCCTGGCTCTACCTCCTCTTCCCTTCCCCCCCCGCCTTGCATCTCCCCCATCCTGCCCACAGGGTCCTCTTTTTTGGTACTGGAAATATGGTAACCCTAGAGCAAGTAGTTATAGACTTTAAGAGTAAAAATTTTCTAAACCCTACACAAAGCACGGGTGAACATAACCATAAATCCACCATGGCATAACAGTAATTGTGCATGCAGAAACCTGTTTGCATGCCCAAATATTTCAGTGGACTAGTATATAATTTGCAAACTAAATTGGGAAAGATTATAGAGAGCTTAGCCCTAAAAATAGTTATTTGAAATTGTGAATAAAAAATAGTGGATTTTGCCATTATGAAATTCTTTAAAGTTCACTGAAACTAAGCTCTCAGAAAAAGGACTAGGCAAAGAAAAACAAAAGGGACTGTATGCAGAATGAATTCTGCATTATTGAGCTGATAGTATATTATTAAACATATTTTATATTTTGCTTCAGGTGGAACAGAACTCTTTTTTTGAAAACTATTGCTGTGCAGCTGCTTTTCACTTAACAGAAATGAACAAGGATTTATTGGCTCTTAAGGTTTTTTCCCCAGTATTGAGATGTATTTTCAGGTTTGTCTTTTTGAATATTTGCTGCCTCCTGCCCTCAGGACCTCTGAAGCACAGAGATCTCTCAAATGATAGCTAAATAAATACTGTTTTCTGTTTTTCTGGGCATCTTCATTGTAAACATAATTTGTGGTTTATTGGTGTGAGTTAGGGAGGAGGGAAGTGGGCAATTGTAACTCTCTCTCTCTCTCTCTTTTTAAACCACAACTCTTACTTCTATCATACAACTGTGTGTGAAAGCCAATTACGTGGTGTAGTAGTGAGAAATTGCATTTTGTATTTGTAAACCATCATGTCCTATGCAGTAGTTCTTATTTTTATTTCATAGCTGGGCCTCAACTTGTTTTGTATTCAGTATACTAGAAAGACAATAGGACATATCTTCCTTTGTAGACAGGGTCTTTTTAATAGACGCTGTCATCAAGCAACTTAAAATATGTATTGTTTTAAATTTAAGAAAATATATTATTTTAAGGAAAAGTTCATTGATTTAGATCACATATTCTTTTAAGGCAGTATTTGCTAATATTAGCAGGCAGCATCTGTCTGCTATATTTCTTCCTCCTGATGAAACCTCATGTGAAAGTTGGCAAGCCAGAAGAGAGGTTATTCTTTTCAGAACAAGTAGTACGGATAAGGCAATCAAATGTTGTTACTAAATTATTTAACAAGTGTGTTTTAGTATATTTTGTTTGCTGAAAGGCTAGATTAATAAATATGCATGTACTGTATTTACCCAAATCTAAGATGACTTCAGATTTAAGACAACCCCCAATAAGCAGATTCTACACATAGAAAATCTGTCATAATAACAGGCTTAGTCTGTCTGTCCAGAACGCTCCGATTGGTTGTCCTGGCAGCCAATCACAATGCTTACTGAAACAACCAATCAGAGTGCTCCAGACAGAATAAGTGTGCTATTATTATAGATCCTAAGGTAGTTCAAACAGGCATGCGGGCAAGTCAGAGCTAGAATGAAGCACCGGGCTCCCTCGCCATGGATCGGGCAGGTTCTGCTGAAGGGGAAAAAAACCCAGATGGTGAGGGGCCCGATCCTTTTTGCCCCCTGGCACCTACCCACCTCTTCTGAGGCCAGGGGTCAAGCTGCTGGTGGGCTCTGAGCTGAAGGGGGCCCTGGTGCTTCCCTCCATAGTGACAGCACCTGCAAGGACCACCTGGGCAGGGTGCCAGTGGGTGGGTGCTGCCTGGGGGGGTGCTACTGCCACGGAGGGAAGCAGCAGGGTCCCCCACAGCTCACAGGATGTATGACCCATCAGCAGCTCACTCTCCAGCCACGGGAGATGCAGGCAGGCTCCAGGAGAGAAAAAAAAAATCAGGTCCTTGCTTTTTTTTTTCCCTTTGGTGGAGCCTGCCTGCATGAGCTGCCACTGGGTCATGCAGACCCTGAGCTGCAGGGAGGGGTGGGGGCGGGGGGCTTCCCTCCACAGCAATGGTGCCCCCCAGGGCTGCCCAGGTGGGGTGCTAGCTGCATGGGTGCAGCCCCAGCTCACAGACAGCACCTGCCAGATCCAGTGGTGCACGGGGCACTGGAAACGGAGGAATGCTCACGGAAGCTTGGGCTTGGTGGGCTTCCAGTGCCCTGTGCACCATTTCTGCTGCCTTCCCACCAACTGTGACTGCCTGGAAATGAGCTGGCTGCCCCAGGAAGGCAGCAGGAGGACAGCTGGGTATGCTGGCAGCTGGAACAGGTGGCAGGACCAGTGCGTGGGGCGCTGGAAGCCCTCCTAGCCTGAGTTTCCCCAAATGTGCCTGGGCTTCCAGCACCCTGTGCACCATCCCCACCACCTTCTCCAGATAGGGCCCTTGTACACATGAGGAATATCACTGTAATTAGTTACATAGCAAACTAAAATACATGGGATGTTTTTTAGTTTGCTGTGTTACAAAGTCATTTAAATCAAAATACACTGGTGAATGTGTACACTGTTATGAAATTTAACTATAACATGCCACTGAACTTGTACACGGTTATGTAATTAAATAATTAAAAAGGGCAATTAAACTACAAAAAGGGCCAATATCCTCACGTGTACAAGGGCCCCTGGTCACATGTACAAGGGCCCTCTTATTCTATGCCTATAAAAAAGTCACAAGGTTAGACTTTTGACAAAATATGTATTTATATTCCCAAGTTTAAATGTGGCCAGTTTTATGGAGCCTTTTCAAGGGTGAGAAGTTTTGATTCTCTGTTTAAGTATTCAGTCAAAGGATACAAATTTAATTGTAAATGTTTTGTGGGTTTCAAGTAGTAGATTATAAATGTATTGTCATTTTCCAATACTTACATTCATTTTACAGAATGTAAGTATTGGAAATTCATTCCCCAAACCGCTGAGCTGGAGAGAGCAGTGGCAGAAGGGCAGGCCACGACGGGACAGGCAGTAGGGGAAGGGAAGCAAAACCTGACCCTGCTAGTCTTCCCCCACTACTTGCCCCCCTGCTATTTGACCCCTCTGTACCTGTGTCACCCAGCACCTGACCTCCGCCCACAGTGCCTATGCTCTCTCGTGTTTGTCCTGCCTTGCCTGAACAACCCCCATGCCTGCACCTCTAGTGCCTGCCCCCTCCCACCACTTGCCTTCTTTCCCAGGCTTCCCTCCTCTCCCTTTCTCAGTGCCACCTCTTGCTCTGAATCATGGCTCTGGCCCCACTCTGATCCAGGCACAGAGCACATGCTAGCTCCACTCCTCACCTGGCCAGGCAGCACTGGTTGCAATGGTGGCAGCCCTGGGCCCAGCCCTGGCTCCAGGCTGGATTGGAGCCAGAGCTGGGGCCAGGGCTGGAGCTGCTGCCACTGCAACCGCTGCTGCCTGGCCAGATGGGGGCAGGAGCCAGCCTGTGCTCTGTACCCCAATGCAAAGCCAGATTGGATCTGGGGGTAGATATAGCCATGGATGTGAACACAGAGACAGAGCTGGGATATGTGGCAGTTGTGAGTAGCAGGGAAGGCAGGTGAGGGAAGGTTAGAGGCATCGTGGGGCAGGGCAGAGGCAAAACCCTCTACTTGAACCAAAATTAAGTTTTTTTTTCCCACCACATTGCATAAGGGGGAAAAACCTCATGTTGGTTTTGTGCAAATACTTCCATGGAGTGATACATGTTGGAGTTTACGATGTTGAAGAAAAAAAGAGAGACTTTACAAATAGCTCACCTCTAAAAAAAGAACCTCAGGAGCATTTCAGAATTCAGCTTGGTTTGGAGACATTTCAGAGCTAAGATTTTAGTGTGCTTATTATAAAAACAGAAGCAAGCAGTGATATGCAAATCCAAATCATCTTTTTCCGAATATTTTGGGGGTTGGTCCACAGTTTTGATTCAAGCCTGTCTCTTTTTTATTTTGCAATACTCATCATCGTAACAAATCCTTAATATAAAGCATTTTGCCCCTTTTTTGCCTGTGCAATGTATGTCTGCATTTTCTTCCAGTGGGAGAAGACTTAAGACAAACATGTACTTAGGCTTGAACTCATGAAAAGAAACAGAGCCCTCATTTCTCTTGTGAATTTCTCTCTTATTCGAATAGTCTATGCTTTCTAAGGCTCCTATTAAAAAAAACCTAGGTGACTCATTTTTTTTATGATTTTCTTTTCTAAGATCAGCTTATTCTGTGATGATTATGGCTACAAGAATTACAATGCAGATCTTTATAAAAAGATGCAGTGATTTAAAATACTAAAACAACTAAGCATTTTAAATAGCATGTTCTAATTGCAATAACCTCTTTCTTTGTAGCAGGCTCTACTAAGAGATAATTGACCTCTGTGTCTGTTAAGCACTCTCACATTTGGCTGAGGATGCATAATTCACATCACAGCCAATTACCTTGTGATATAGCCCACAAAGAAGCTTGGCTGTTGGCATATTGCAGCATGGTGTTTCTTTTTTTTCTTATCATGTATTTAAATATCTTCATTTTCAGGTTGCAATATCTTGGCTGTTTAAAAGCTAATTCAGTATGACAGACTGAAGGGAAAACAGATCTCTGCTTCTGTTCCTCCTGCCTCTTTCGAAGAAATGTAAACAGGGCAAAAGACCCCAAAACAAATCCATTAATAAAGCCAAACTGTGATTTAGAGTGCAGTAGAAAATTAGTTTGTCTTACATATTGTGTTTAGCAAAGCTTATGTACAATGACTTTCAAACTGGATACTGCCTTGTATATGGTAAGCCATTTTAATAAAAACAATTCCATATTGTTTATTGTATACTTTTCTGTTATTATATCAGTTGCTTTTTTGCAAAGATTTAACCAAAAAGAGTGAATCTTTCTTTCTTCCTTTAGTTCTTGAAGATTTCTTTCTAATTCCCATCACCTTGGCACCTGGGCAACTTAAATTAAAAGAGTATATTAACAAAATACAACTCCTGTGGGGGAAGAGAATAACAAAAGCTCCATCACCATTATTGAAAAAGAGCCCAGAGGTCAATTAAAAATCTGGGTGTTTAATAGGTTTAAGCCTAGACTTTGTCAACTGCAGAAATCCGTTTGAAGAAGCATAGTTCTTCACCAAGAACCCTCAGCTGCTGGGCTTTGGCAACTATACCCCAACAAATGGCAAGCTGACTATTCCCTGATAGGCTTAAATTGAGAGATTATGTGTCTGATAACAAGATCCCAGATGCAAATGGGTCCTAAACTCAGCTTAATATGTCACAGTCAATACCTTTCATTTCTGCTTCCAGAAACAGATATGCAGTATGGGAAAGATTATATACACACATCCTTTTCAACCACCAACCATAGTCTTTTTACACTATCTTATCTAAACTGCCTCTAATTGCTGCTGTTCCCATCATTTCATGTCTACTGGCAAAACAGAGAGACCACAGAACTGAAGTTTGAAAAAGAAGGAGGTTCAGACTCTGAACCTTATATTTTCTGGATGGTAAAAGCAATAAAATCCCTTACTATTAACACACAGATTCGCTGTATCACTATGATAAGAAGAATTTGAATTGGAGGCTAAAATATGCAATAACACAACTAAGAAAAGGAAGTTATTTTTCACACAGTGGGTACATCTACACGTGCATTTTACTGTTGAGTAGACTAATTAGCTCCACAGTAAAGCATCATAGTCTACACGTGTGCCGATAGTCGGGTGCAATAAACTAATTAACTTCACTGTGGGATAGTACTGTTGAGGACAGTACTATCTTATGGTGGAGTCATTAAGTATGATCAAACACCCATGTAGACAGTGACTGCTAGGTGCAAATGGCTCCAGTCAGTCGAGTCAGCCAGGAGCCAGACACCCAGCTCCTGCCAGCCCCTCTGTCACCTGATTCTGCTACCCGGAGCCAGGGGATTCTCCACCCTGGCTCAAATTGCTGCTGTCCTAGGCACATGTGTAGACACTGCACCCAGGAGTAGTGTACTCTGGCTCAAATGGATCCAGAGTTAATTGTGTTGCATTAATCGCATGTGTAGATGCACCCAATGGTACTTAAAGTATGGAACTCATTGCCATCAGATAATGTGGAATCTGACAGTTCAGCCATTTCAAAAAGGGACAATTCTCGGAGAAATGAGGTAGCAGTGGTTATTGAGCAGGGGAGTTAGGGATACAGCCTCTGCATCAGAACTTCTTAGACCTTAAATGTTGGAGGCTGCAAGTGAGAGAGAAACAGTGGAAAAAAACCCTGGTTTTACCCAGTTCACTCTCTCTTTCAGCATCTACTCTCTGCCACTGTGTGACACAGGATGCTGGGCAAGAAGGACCTATGTTCTGACTTAGTAAATGGCAGGTCTTATATTCTTATGTTCTTATGTACAACCAGTGTAAAGAAACTATTACTTAGCACCAGACACATCAGTATTTACAACCCAGTTTCTTACTTCCTGTCTCCTAGTAAATGCAAAGCAGAAAGTAGTCGGCAGTGCCGCCTCCTCAGTCTATATCACACTACTGAAATAGGATTGGTTCTCCCAGTAAATGACATGCATCAAACTGTACATACTCATCCTTTTGTACAGTTGTGCTGTACAGATCTTTCAGTAGCATCTGA